AATATTGAATTATATGAAAAATATATTATCGTGCCAATAAGTATATAATATGAATATGACAGGAATAAAAACAAAATTACGAAAAAAAAAAAAGAGAAGAAATGGGTTTCAACATTATGTAAAATTTTAACATCATATGACTATTAGATTATATGGACAATCTATATATTACCATGTCAATTTCTTTTCTCTCAAAGCAATTGAATAAAAATTTAATTGAATGATAAAAAAGTTTGACATACTTTCACTATTATGATTGTGATCAAAATACCAAAAAAAATGAAAAATAGAAGAATGCTATTTTTAAAAAAATAAATAAATAAACAGTTGAATAATAAATTAACTCATAAAAGTAGTATTTACATATTTTCACTTGTGATCTTTAAACAATTTTTGAAAAAAAAAATGATAAGAAAAAGTTAATAAATGTGTGTCAAAAGAAAAAATAGAATTGCATTATTTTTGTATAAAAACAAAATCATGAAAAGTTGCAAATGGAATAAAAAATACTATGCACCTCAAACCATTTATAGATGCTGGTTGATAATTAAGATATTTAGATAATTTTTAAATTGATAAATATCTTTTGAATTTAAATACAACATAATAAGTGACACTTATGTTTTTGAATTAAAAACAAATTAAAACTAAAGGATCATAAAGAAATTTATGAAGGTAAATATATTTTTTTGAGAAATTTAAATTTTAAAAAAATTCTCTAAATAGGTAAAACTCCGATCAAATAAAATGAATTTGTTAAATTTAAATTTTTTCTTACAATTTAATTTATTCGTTTGAATTCAATATTGAATCCAGATGGGTAGTTTTATCCATTTCATAACCCAAAAATCTAAATTGGTTGATAAGTTATTTAACAAATTCTTTTGTTTGTTAATCTATTGGAACTTAAAAACTTTTGATATTTGAATTTGAATAATATATAATAAAATATTATCCTATTTGATATATATATTAAAAAGATATGTTCTTAATTGGACACACCTATATTTTAGATTTAAAAAGATATATCACAACATTTAGAATTTTTAGATTTAAAAATATATATATTTAGATTATTAAAAAATCCATTTTAAATGATAAAATATCAATATGTTTGAGATTTTTAAATTTAAAAAGATATTGTCTAGATTATTTGAAAATTTATTTAAAATTTTAAAAAATATATATCTAAATTAAATTTTGTTGGTAATAATTTAAAAGTCATTCAAGTAAATATCCACGGAAGTAAATTTTTTATACAATTTTTTATGTGTCAAAAATATAAATTATTTATATTTTATCATATTTTTATATATTATGTAATATACTATTATACATGATAAGTGAAGGATGAGATTTATGCACTAGGTTTTCTCTTGAACGACCGAAGGATACCACTTTTAGCACTTGAAAATAACATTACTCCATGACCCAAAAAAAAAAAAAAAAAGATTTCGTTCAAGTTTTTAGCTACTCTATAGTCTATGAATTATGAAATGTGACGACTCAAATCTAAGGGTTTTTTTTTTTTTTTTTAATTAGTATTTATATATTCTTAGGATAAATTTTTGATTATATAAAAATGGTTAAAAAGATTATCCATATTTTTTAAGATATATTTAAAAAATAAAAATTTAATTAAAAAAAAAGAGAAACATTTCACTTTCTTAATTTCATTTATGTAATTAAAATTTTATATCGGTAATATATCAAAAACTTACCTTCAATGAGCAAGTTGATTACCATGAATGTCAGGTATTTTTTTTTTTTTTATAATTTATTTGCACTTATTTTATGGGCATTGGATTCATTTTTGCTAAAACCTTTCATTTTTTTTCTTTTTTTATATCAATTTGTTTATTCCCCTAAAAGCAATGGTTTTTTTATGTGTAATGGTATGATTTATTTCTTTAATTGTGTGATCTTTTGATAAAATATTATACTTTTAATTTCAATAATAATCTCAAGTAAAAAAAAATCATATTTGCAAAGGTGTTTAATCTTTCAATTTTGGGGTTTAATGTTAAAACTCAAAAGAATGTGATTAAAAGAATGGGTTTTTCTTTTTGCTTATAGATTATATATGTAATAATTTTTTTAAAATGAAATGCTTAGTACAATAAATTAGATTCTTTAGTAAATAAAGAAAAAAATTTCCAATGAAACTTTTGTTTAGAGGTAAAGAGAAGATATTGAAATCATAAGGTTCTAGATTTAAATCTTATTGTATGAGGGTTTGGTTTTGGTTTCTTGATTTATTTATTTGTTTGATTTAATTTGACAAATTTTTACATAAATGTTATATTTGATTAAAATTGTAATTTTAATAAAAAAGGAAAAAAAATTAAACCTTTAATTTTAAGTGATTTTCTCCCTGTAAGTCTTTGTTAGAATTAAGGGTGTAAATAATACATTAATACTGACAAGCTACTCGGGTTCGATTCGAAAAAAATTCGAATTCGGTTCGATTATTATCGAGTCGAGCTCGAGCTTGAGTAGCTCGACTTATCGATCAAGCCGAATTCGAGTATTCTTATATCTGACTCGAGTAGTTCGCGAGCCTAATCGAGTTTTTATATTTAAATATATTTTTATTATTTTAATTAATAAAATATTTCGAGTCCGAGTTCGAGCATGAATAATCGAACTCTTGTCGAGTATATGAATCGAGCTTATTTTTACATATTAATCGAACTTAATCGAGCGAGCTCGAGTAGCTCGAATTCGATCACGAATCGAGTTTAAGCTTCAAAAATAAAATTCGATCGAGTTCGAGCTGAGTATCGAGCCCCGAATTGTGAGTCGAGCTCGAGCTCGAGCTTCTCACTATTCGACTCAGTTCGGCTTGTTTACAACCCTAGTTAGAATAATGATATTTGATATTTTATTCATTTAACTTTATTAAATTTTATAGGACATATTCAAATCAATTTCAATATGAAAAGGGATATCCATGAAATGAAAGCATTATAAACTTTTTGGATCCTTGAAGGAAATTTATAGCTTCACTTTTCAGAAAAATTATGCAAGCAAGAATCAAAGAATATAGCATAATATATACCCAATAAATGCAAATATTAAAGAAGTCAAATTTTGTTGCATGTATTAATTCCGAAATTACTATAACGCGTGAAGGAAATAAAAGCTGTATATGAATGAAACAAAAGTCCCAAAATTTGTAAAGAATTAGATTTGAGAAATTCAATTTCTACTTTAGATTCCAAGCTGGACTATGGCATGTTTCTCCCATGTACTTTTTATTGAGTGGTCCTTTATGCTACAATACCTCATTTTTATAACAGTTAGTCGGTTTAAATGAAAAAAATAATTTATTTTAAATTCATTAAAAAATTATAAAAAATATTTTTTATGAATTTATTAAATTTAATATAAATAAATCTGTTTAAACCAATCTAAAAATATATATATTGGAAGAACATTAAAAAATCGTTTGTTGCTTAAAAAAATCTAACCTTTTGGAAAATTTTGATAAATTTCAATCTAGAAGACAAAAGGAAGTGTGAAACAACTGTGCTGATTTTAGTCAAGATGCCAGCTTGAGGTAATTATGAAATTTTGCTTTCTAGTGGGTTTTGGAATATATTTAGTTGGTAAATGCGTTTACTTTCTCGATTCTGCATTATTTTTGTACTTGTTTGAGGAGATAGAAATAGTTTTCCCGAGTGAGCTGGAATTGCAAATATTTCGTTGAAATCATTTCCACTCATTCGTTCAAATTCAATGTAAAAGTGTTTTTAATTAAGCTATCAAGAAAAATTTGTCAATCTAGTTGACTTTTGAATTGAATTAAAATTCCAGGGCTTTAATGCAAGAGCAGCTGCTCCCCGTCTCGTATGTGCTTTTTTTTTTTTTTGTCATAAATAATAATAACGAAATGCCGTTTCAGATCAATTGCAACTGAAGTCGTGGAATGGATACTTCAATAGTTATAATTTGGAATTCTCAACATAAATATCTTCTATTCGAGTTTTGAAAAAAAAAAATTACGTATTATATGATAAGTTTTATGAAATAAAACTTTATATTACTCATAAAAATTAATTTAATCGATAAAAAAAAATTCTTTTCTTATTGAGATTGGAGAGTAATCTAAATTATTCAATGCATGTATAAATAAAAAAAAACCATATATTTATTATCGTTCAAAGAAAAAATTAATTTAGATAAACTTAGAGACATATAGAAAACCAATTACTTTTTTTTTAATGCGTACTTGCACATGTAAAAAAAAAAATCAATTAAAAATAAAACAACGTGATGTTTATAATTTAATCATATTTTTTAATACAAAATAGGAGTTAACCAAAATTTGTCATGCATGAATGTTGTATTATAATGCAAGCTCAACATTGAATAAGTTCGAGGGAGAAAAACGACAAAAGTCTACCACACTTAAAAATATCTAACCAAAACAATTCAAAAATAGCAAATCAGCAAAAATATCTTCTAACTTTGCAGTGCGGTTTGAAAGATATTTATTAAATGAATAAAAAATAACTCTTTTTATGGGCCTCACATGGCGCATATATGAGGTATGAGGGCAGCTTGATACTGTCAAATTAATTACACTTATAATACAAAATGAATTACATAAATATTATATCTCATAATTTTAAATATAATATAATAAATAATATGATATAAAAATATAAAAAATTATTTTAAAATTTTAATAAAATATATATTAAAAATTTTCATATTTAATTCATTAATAGGAATTATAATATAATATTTTTATATTTTATATATATTTAATACAAAATAATGACCCCTGACAGCTTTTCGGATTTGGGGGGCAGGCAAAGGCAATGGCAATGCCTTATATTTCTAATGTGGGCCTCCAGTTAGACCCGGGCAAGCCTGTTGCTAGCCCCAAGACTGGGGCCTATCCCCCTAACTCCTAGTCCTGGATTACCAATCGCTTCCTCCCATATCATACAAGGCGCACCAAACCTTTGCAGCAAACAGGTGGCAAATACCCCATTGGCTTAGAGTCAGCTTGTTGGCTTTCCACCCAACGGGTGTCTGCCACTGTCATTGATCTGTCTTCACAGCCATTGTACGTGGTACGGGTCTAGAAGGAGCAGGCTCAGTCGAGCAGGGTACTTTGGGTACGTAGAATGGTAGCAGGCAAAACCAACCCCCCTTGAATGTCACTTAGGCAAATAATTTATAGGCAATTAGACACATCTGCAACTACAATTGTCATCATAGGAGATTTTGTTGTTTACTAAAAGTTGAGAGAAACAGGTCACATTCGATTCGTGTTTGAGAGAAAATCCCACGTCCTTAATTAAAAATCAAGGAGTCAACTCTCTTCATCTTCCTTTAATTTTAATTCTCTCGTTATTTAATTTTTTTCATCTATTAAAGAGTGTCGTACATTATAAATTATGATCTTAATATTTATTTAGATAAAAAGTGAGATTAATTTTAAAAAATTAAATTAATGATAATAATAGAATTAATTATTATAATAATAAAATTTTATATTATAATACAAAAATTAAAATTAATAATAAAATATGTATTATCGTAATATACAAATGAAAAATTATTATTAAAAATATTAATTTAAAAATAATTAAAAAATTATTTTGATACAATTTTAATTTCATTTAATATTTAAAATATTAAAAATTAATTATTTAATGATGCAATTAGAAAAAAATACAATGTAAATAAAACACAATATTATTTTTAAATTCACTGAAATTATTTCAATCAATAAATTTTTAAATATATGAACAAACACATTCGGATAAATTATACACTCTCTATTGATTTCAATGTTACTAATTTAATTATACCAATCACTTGTTAAAATTTATTTTTTTATTTATCTATAAATATTAATTTGATAGTAAAAAATTCTCTGACCAATAATGATTTACAGGTTTTTCGATTTGAGCGACGTTTAAGGCGAAGATTACAAAATTTGATCTCTACAATAGTATTTTCCTTTTCTTTTCGCCGTCATCGTCAAAATGTTTGTCTGCCCCCACTTTCGTCGACTGACTGGCCATTGTACGAGCAACGAGGGAAAATTTTGTGAGCCTAAAATAATGTAAGCCACTTGGCGGTTGACAGAGGAACGTCCGTGTGTCTTCTTAGCAACCGCGTTGTGCCGATGTGTCGCATTTTGATTTGCACACTTGACAATCGAAGTTGACCCTCGTGAGCTGTCCCTTTTTTTTTCCCTCCATTTCGTCACTTTCCGGCCACTTCAGCCCGCAAAATACCTCATCTTTCCAATGCCTTGCTTCTTCATCATTTGGATTACCACGCAAAATATATTAACATGTAAAATATATATATATTTGCATGTAACATCATCATGTAAAAATATGTAATTGGCATATTATGTAACAAAATCTTCTAATTGTCGCCATTAATTAATTAGTGTAGACATTAAATGATAACATTGAATTGTAGTTTTAGTTTTAATGATGGACTTTTGTTAATGTTTCCTATAATAGGATTTATTTTAAAAAAGTGAAATTTAATTAATTTGCACTTCAAATTTCAATAATTATAATTTTTTAATAATTGAATTATAAGAATAAATATATGATTTAACAAATTTTTTTAAACCACGATAAAGTAGGCCTACACCTTTACTTTTTAATAATCTAATATACAGAAACGTGACAAATAAGTTCATAAAATTTCAACGATGTCGGAGAAAAACAACAAAGAGAAACAAAATTGTGTGATAAATTTGTCAAAATAATCAAATTGCGCCTAACAGAGCAAAGTCGTTTTCATTTTCATATCTTTTTGTGAAATGGTAATAGTAACGATTTAACATCACTAGATTAAGAACGAAGGGTGGAAAGTGTTAGAGAGGAAAGGTATTTGCCCATTTCGTATCTGATCAAGTCTTCTTGGTCTTTTAGGCGTCGCAAATTTCAAAAGTTTGATGGGATCAATTAACCTATTCCCCATTTTCAGAGTTTTTAGGCCCCATCTTTTAACAACACATGAAAAACTGTTGATGCCACTGACTTTTATCAAACAACAATCCTCCAAACGGTGTCCCAAAAAGTTAGAAATCAATAATTTTCTTCAATGATTTTGTTTTGTATAGTCAATTATCCTAAAATTTTAAATTAATAAAAAATTTCCAATCATCAAGCTGATAACTTTGATATTATATTAAGTTGTATAATCCATTACCTCTAAAGCATAAATTAATAAGAAGGTCCAAATTATTATATTTAAATTCAAACACAAATTAAAAAAGAGAAAATGTAAGATTTCGTGCGAGCTATGCCCAACATAAACTTAAATCAATTTCAATCTTTTTATTTATTTACAAAATATGGTAATACAAAAATTTTATCAAAATATCAAGCAATCATGCAATAAATATTAAATCATACAATGCAAAAATTATTATGCAAATATATTATAAATCATACCAAATATCATGTAATAATATCATGTCTAAATCATGCTAAAATATTCATGTAAGAATATCTTGCAAATATATTAATTATCATGCAATAATAACAATAATGTAAATATGCAAATCATATATAATCATACAAATATGTTAGTCATATAATCATGCAATTATGCATACAATAAATATAAAAATATGCAATTAGATATCATTCAAAATTAATATAATGTCATATCCAGCAATAAATATATTAATAATCATACAATCACATAAATAAATTAATTAATAATCATGCCAATAGACATACAATTAAATATATAATCATGCAATTAACAATGTAAAACATGCAAATAAAAATATAATCATGCAATTAACAATATAAATCATGTAAATAAATATATAATCATGCAATTAATTATATAAATCATGCAAATATATATGATCATGCAATTAACAAATATTAAGCAAATAAATTATCATGCAAATATAATATTAGTTATGCAAATTCAAGCAAAAATGAATACCATGTAATAAATATAAAAATAAGAGCAAGCAATTAAATATTATAAAAGTTATGTAAAAATCACAAAAAAAAAAAAAGAAAGCAAGCAAGCATTAGCTCAATGGATCACAAGTTCCAACAATTTTTTACCTTTCAAAAACTAATGCTTCATACTATAAATCTTAGTCTTCCTTCCAAAAACTCCAACTGGATCTTCTTGCAAAATTTTTTTGCTTGATTGTTTCTTCCTTGTTCTTTGCCCAAATTTTTTCTTCTTTCAATGATCTTTGTTTGATTTTGAAGTCAATTGTTGTTAGCCCTTTTTTTTATGTTAGATTCAAGGTCTTTATATAACGATTGAATTTTTTTCGATTTGAAAGAAATTAATTTAACCGAATCTAATATTTCTCTCCAAAATTTTATTTTCTGTGTAATCTTCTTTTTTTTTAACAAATTGAGCCCCAAGTCTTTCCAAAATTATTCAATCATTAAAGTTTAAATTTGAGATAGAATCCAATAGTTGAATTGAATCCAAGATTTTTCATGCAAAATCTCACAATTTTTTCTTTTTTATTTTTACCTTTTTTTTTTCAATTGACTTTGACTCTTTTGATTAAAAAAACAAAAATTAAACTAAAACATTAAAATAAAAATAAAATTTAAAATTTAATCCTTGAGTCCAAAATTTACTTTTCCGATGAAACTCAATTGCACAATCAAAATAAAAAATCAAAGCTCAAAAAATTTCAAAAAATCCTCTAACAAAATAGGATGTCTATAGACATTAGTCAAATGTATGTCACAAGGAACTTTTATGCATTGTAACTTGTGATTCTGTTTAACTGGTTAAGGAAAATGAAATTTCTTTTTAAAAAAAATTATGATAGAATAAAATAGGATGACATTATAAAAATAATTAGATTAAATAATGCCATTTTATATTGTATTTGATGTATGTAAACATTAAGCTTATATTTGGATTGAAATTAGTAAAAAGGGAAAGGAATGCAAAAGAAAGGAATAGAAAGGTTTTTAAAGGAAATGATGGTTTATTCCTTTATTTGGATAACTAAAATGAGTAAAGGAAAGGAAAAGAAAGGATTGATCATAATCTTTGTTTGTTTAAGTTGTAAAAAAGAAAGGAAAAGGAGATATTATATTATATTGCTCAAATTATACCCTTTTAAAGTAAAATATTTTTTCTATCATGTGAATAATTTTGATATTAATTATTTTAAAAATTTTAAAAATTAATAAAAGAATTTAAAAAAGAATTTTATTAATAATTAATTCATAAAAAATGTATGTTTAGAATTATTTTTATACCACAATATTTTTTCTCAAAATTAATTCATAAATGAGAAAATTAAAAACTTAAATATTTATTATTAAGATACAACTAAACATAAATTTGTTTAAATATTAGCATTTTTCTATCGGTGTACATGTTTTATAATATTCTTTTATTTTTATTATTAATAATATAGAAAATCCAAAATTATTGATAAAAAATAACTGAAGAATGAGTTACAAAAGATTTGAAGGTAGTATCAATGGTTAACATCAATAGTTAAGTTTGAATATTATAATAGTATTTAAAAAAATGATAAAATAAAATAAGGACATAAAAGTTATTTTATATTTAAAATTTTTAATCCTTTCCTTTCCTTCATGTTTATCCCAAATTGGGGTAATTAAAATTGGAGCCTTTTAGAGAAAAGGAGATATGCTCAATTTCCTTTCCTTTCTTTTATTAAAATGTATGATAAACTAGACAAAGGAAATGTTTTCTTATTTCCCTACTTTCCTTTCCTTTTCCTCACTTTTCCTCAATCCAAACATGGCCTACGACATCATAATTTATTTATAAATTAAAATTATTATTTTTTAAAATTTATATAATTTAAATTATTGATATAATTTTTAAGGATACAATAAAATATGTAAATTTAAATTTATAAATTAAAAATAATCATTTTCATTTTAAAATGATTGAATTATATCTCTTTTTAGATATAAACTAAATATAATATAAGAAAATTATCGTCTTATCTTATTTACCGTCTTATGTATCAAATATTATCTTATTTCTTTGTCATTTTCTTCATTGTTATTACATTAAACAAAAAAGAAAAAGAAAAAGAAAGAAATGGATTATCCAGATAGTGACTTGGGCGAATTGTATTCTTTTGTAATTTTATCAAAATAATTGTGAAGATGAAATATTAAAAAGAAAAATTGCAGAGATGGATCTCTATTCTCTATTTCTAAGCAGAATAGCTCAAAAGGGATTCAGCAGGCCCTGAAAATTGTCCATTTTGAAGTAGGAACCATAAATACTATGATTTTGAGCAACAAGTTGATAAAAAGTTGCTCCAATATATTGGCATGGGCCTCATGCGGCTTGAAAACAAGGCAAACTCACCTTGCTTTCAAGTCTTAAAACTTTCGGCCTAGCTTACTGTGGGATGGATCATGATCCATTTGCTGGATTTTGCAGAAACGTATCTAAAATCTATAAAAACAACTAACATGTTCTTCAATCTTATAATTAGTGACCAGATAATTTTTTTACTAGAAGATAGTTTGAGGGGTAATTTAATAACAAATGCCTATACTAAGATGTTTTAAAGAGTTTTAGATCCTCAAAGGTTGATAAAATAAAAACCCAAGTCTGAAATTTCTAGAGACTGGGATTAAAATGTTAATAAAACTAGCCGAGCCTTTGTGTAAGATAAAAAAAACTTTGATGAAAATCGAGATTACGAAGGTTAAAGAATTATGCGTCCAGCCAAGCTGAAGTTTCTTGGTTAGAGATTGTGTTGGTGTATCAAGTCAAGAACCACATGAAAAAGGAACTCGAGGCAAAGGTTGCCAGAGGAGAGAAAAGTGACTGATCTGTTTTAGTGAAACCCATAAGATGGCTACAGGGGCAGCGGGTTGCTGTAATTGGCCATTTAGGTATTGCTTGGTGCGGTTTTGGCTTCGGCTTGAGGTTGGAGGGTTCGACAGCGAAGCTCTGGAGGGCCTAGAAGGGAAAGAGGGGCCATCGTTGTTAAGGATTATAGACTTGAAGGATTGACGGTGGGATTTTAGTACACTGATGGATTTTGTTAAGTAGTGTTTTTCATAAAAGCGTTATGTTTCTACTGTTTACTTAAACACCAAGGACATAATGTTTTTTAGATGAGATAAAATAGGTAAAATAATCTGAATGTATTTGGTGCCTTAACGAATACTGACCTGTTTCTTTTTTTTTTTTTGGTGTTCTCATGAGTCTGGTGTCTTGAAATTTAATCTTGATTTGGAGTTTCTTAAAAATTCGAGATTCCAATAAAGATGAGTTAATTGTCGTTAAAGTTGCTCTGGAGATCTTTGTGGGTTCTCGAAAATATGTTTGGTGGCAACTTAATTATTGAATCCATCTCTTATGTGATATTAAAATGGTGTATTAATAAGGAGTCTGGATCTTTATAACTTTGGTAGATTTTGTCTCAAATTGAATGACTAGCTGATTCTTATGCTGTCAAATTTTTAGAGAAACAAATGGATCTGTTGATTATCTGGCTAAAGTAAGAGTTGATAGAACAGAAATGTTTCTAGCTTGATCGTAATTTTCAGAGCATCGTGATTGTTTCCTGCACTTATGTGGTGTTGTCTTGTGATTGTTTAGTTTATTTTGAGGATTTTTTCGGCACATTTTATGTTGTGTGTGGTATTTGGTTGAAATTTTTTTATCTTTTTACCACTACTAACTGTTAAAGCTCTTCGTCCACATCAAACAAACTTTTCTACAAATTTTGGCCTTAGCTGTTTTACATCAACAATTTTCACTTTCACATGCAAAAATTAGGACATGTAAAGGAGCTTGTATAATCCATCACTCACCTCTTCCTGAAGGCTCTTTGTCACCAAAATCATAAAACACAAGAAAATTATGCTGTCAACAAGATTAATTTAATCTTCTATGTCTTTATTAAGAGGACAAGTAAAAAATCTCTGCTAAAAACTTTGATATTCAAACTAATGCACTGCATGACTCTAGATCCGCTGCAAAGCATGGGCAGCTTCTAGTATATATATGGCATTAATTTTGGTCATAACTTATGAGTTATGATGGATGTATCTGCTTTATTCTATGGGTGCAATTGGCATCATGAGGTAATTTCTTACCTAAAGATTATAATCGGACTTTACAAATAAGATTCAAAAAATAAACAGCTGAAAATGGAGCAGATCACAACTCACCTTAATTGCAACACTGTACATCTATACCTTGATGGATAAAATCTCCATCAGTGCATACCAAGTTCCTGAAACTCCAAGAACAAGGCCCAAGGTCACAATTCCAACATCCAAAGTCCATCCCTTCCACCCCAGCTCTTCCTTGAACACCAACAAATGAAACAGAGCAGGCAATACAAACCCCAAACCACAGCACACACTGCTTCCAACCAAGGACAAGAAATCGGCGAAATTTGGTACGAACAAGGCTACCAAACTTACAATCAAAACCAGCAGCCATCTCAGCCACAAACAGTAACTCCCTCCCCAAAATCGCCTCTCTATGATCTCATAGACTGGATTCATCATCAATGGGAAAGAGAAAAATAAGTTAATGCAAAGACCTAGCTGAACCAAAGTGCTGACCAAGCCTGCCCCCAAATTAGCAGTAATGATATCATTGGTTTCTGCACCAAAAGCAAAATAACCAAGTGCACCAAATCCTCCATAAATTAAAGAAATCAAACCCATGCTCAGTGCCAATATTTTGCCAAATTTAGAGGTGTCCTTCATCTCAGATTCTAGAGGCAAAACCATACCAGTCCCTTCAAATGCATAAACAGCCACACCCATGCCATAAAAGAACACAGAGAGACCCCCAAAAGCCATAACCTCATGCCTTTGCTTCAAGATAAGCGAAACATCTTCAAACAACACCACTCCCATTGCCCCAAGATCGACCACATCAGCAAAAATACTCAACGGAGCTAAATGGGTTAATGTTGCAATTGAATTCAACCCCAATTGAAATGGAAAACATCCCCATATATACAAACTCTTTGCTGTAAAACTGGACATCCCCGAACTTAAGCTTGAAGTCATGGATATTTCATTGTTAAAAAGATTGGTTAGAGTGTTGGCAATGAATATAAGATACCCAACACAAAATCCAGCTTGAGAGAGAATAATAAGTACATCGACAACAAACCTGTCAATGGAATTATTAAAAAATTTAGCAATGAAAGCATAAAATAATCAAATTAGGATGTTTCCTCATTTGAAAAAAGGATTAGCCGTAAAATCATCAACAGGTATAAGACGCAGCTCGCAAATAGTCAGCAATAAACGTGTTAAGAGTGAATAAGGCATAGATTCAACAAAAATTTACTGATGAATTTTAGTTTCATTGTTGAAGAAGGAGCTAAGTATTAGAAATTCATATAAGTTACATAACCAAAACCAATTTTGTTATACAATAATAAGAACCTGAAAAAGAACCCGATATGTTAAGTAATCCAATGCCAACTGATGAGCATCTTTTATGTTTCATAATCTATAATATTAGCCAAATTACAATTTTGAACCAAGCTTTAACCCAGTCGGTTCATGCAGTCACGCTTACCCTTAAAAGATGACATTCAATAGGTTTGAATTCAAATCCTTTCCCTATCCCATATTCTTAGTACCAACAAAAAAATTTAGTAGCAAATTCCACAAGATACCCAATACAAAACCCAGCTCAAGCAAGAATAATAAGCAGAAAGTCTAGTGATCTACCAAAGAACATAATCAATAATAACCAACGATACCCAACAGAAAACTTACTTTTAATACCTAACTTTAAACACCTCAAGTCGCGGATTTTTTTTTTTTTGTTAAAAATAGAAATTATAATCCAATTTAATTGGCAATTTCGTGTTTCCTTCACAAAAAAAAATGTTTCCCAGAAAGAATAAACAAAACAAAAGCAAGACAACCCAAAACAAAATCCAAATAAAGATAGAACTGAGAAAACGTAACAAAAACAACCACAAACCTGCCAACTGTGCCACAAACAGCGAAACCCAGATCGCCAAAAGAAGTTATTTTGGCAAAACCATTGTCAAAAGACTCGAGCTTCCGGCGGGTGCAAACCAAAAGCATCATACAGTGGGTGGTCAAGCCAGCAACAGAGAAAAGCATGAGCAGGCCCATGATCCATCCGGTTCTCTTGAGGGCGTAAGGCAAACCCAGAACGCCAGCACCAACTACGGCTATGAAAACATTGGCAAAGGTCTTGGATTGCGACGATAGCGGCTTTGCCTTGCCTATAAGAGGCGTGTCTTCTCTTGGTAGAGGAGACTTAAACTTTTTTGAAGATGAGGACGAAACCGGTTTCTTCTCGAAAATCATGGCTGATTCTTGATAAAAAAAAAAAAAAAAAAACCAGAGTTCGAGTCTTTTTCTTCAGATGAAATGCAAAATGTTTAGTTGTGGCTGTGTCTTTAAGATTCAAAAGACAAAAGCTTTTGATGGATAGAGAGACAAGGAGTCAATGACGGTGGCTTATATTAAAAAAAATGGAGAGGTTTTTTGTTACTATTAGGAGATTAATTACAAAAGGAAAATAATTAGTAGTACACCAAAATGGCGGTGTAAATTTTGGAGGGGCTGAGAAGATGCGGCGTTTCAAAGCGATGGTGGCCTGGTTGAGGTTCTGCGAACGGTCAGCGTTTTGGCAAGGAGTCAAATAGAGAAAGCCGCAGCCCACGTGCCCAAATGAGCCGTTTTTTAGTCGTTGCCCAAAATAAACGTTTCAACTAGGGTAAACAACCTAATACCCCGTCTATGATGGATTTGATCTCCTCAATTTTTTTTTTTAAATCAAATTTTGAGTTAAATTAAATTAAATAATATTAAAATTAAAATTAAAATAGAATTAAATTTAAATTTTAAATAAATTAAATTTCACTTGATATTATATAAAAATAATTTTTAAATTATTTATTTAAATATATTTATATAATTATATATTTAAATATTTTATATTAAAAAATAATATTTTATTAATTTCAAATCAAATTAAATACTATTTATATAATATCAAATTTAAATCAAAAATTTTAAAAACATAAAAAAATTTGAGGTGAACAAAAATTTATCCCAACCCGTTGACAATCCTATTTTAACCACAGAGTTTCTGTGCCCGACAGGAATTATAATCGAATCTGGTTCCAGGTAGGGAGAATTGAAAACTGAAATATATGAGATCTGAATGCTATCCAAACACAACCTTTTTGAAGCTGTTTTTAAAGAAATAATAGAAAAAAATAATTCACAACAAATGCAATTCCAACAAAATCAAAAGAAAAACATAGCAGAAAGAAAAATATACTAATTCTTTGCCTTGTTCTAAACCTTTGCCACCACCCAGGCCCGAAAATCCAACCCAATTCCATAACAAATTGAATATTTCATAAAAGATTTATTACAAAAAAAATAACAGAAAACAAACTCAAAATACAAAGAATAAAAAATCACTCATAATAGCTAACTTGAAATTTAAATCAAAATTTTTTAAAAAATGAACATACCAGTTGATGTGATATTAACACGACATTGGTTTAATCTTTCGGTGGTAATCACATAATTTTTTATTAATTTTGTATGAAATTTGTTAAAAGAATTAAATTTATTCTAATTAGGTTTCGACTTTATCGAAGGTGTTTTTATATTTATATATTTATAATTTTTTTATTAAATTAATTTTAATACAAAAAATCATTACAACCAATTAAGCTTTAAAAAATTCTTCTTTCTCCCGTCAATACAAATTAAAATGTATTAAAATATAATTACAATAAAAAAAAAACTTTCAATTGTTTTTTTTTAATTTTTGAATTTGGATATTAAACAGTAGAAATTTGTTTAAAGCCATATAGCAGATTCTTCAAAGTGCCAAAACATATACAAGATCTTGTAACAAATTTAGGCCGCTTATATAATAGAGATTCGCTCACCACTAATTCATTTCTTAATAAAGACAATACCCTTCTAAATACTTCTTGCTAGCTTTTTTTTTGCTTCTTTAAAATAACTCTATTAAAATTCAAATATGAATTAATTGGGTACTCTGTTATCTTTACTTAAAATAGTAAAAATATTTATATTTCTAACAAAAAATATACTTGTATATATTCCTTTCATGCTTGTTTAAAGGCTCTAATTGATAGACTTCTTCAGCATCAGTACGACCAAATCGTATTTTATTTGCAAAGAAAAGAAGTTTTATAACCTGTGATTAAGATGAGAGTTTATTGATTATAAAAAAAATGTGAAAAATGAAAAACCAAGAAGATGTTGGCATGAAATAAACATTTAAAGAAGGTATCTGGAAAGCTACAAAGGCACATTCCACAATTATTGCAACTTCTCTTAAGCTTTGGAGGCATGCATCTGTTAACTCGACAACTACATAAGCTTATACATGTAAAGTCTTCGTTTTAGTTGCTTGAATATATTCATCAAAATTGAAAAGAAATTATATACAAATTAAAGTGAAGATAAAATGGTCAACCATTGACAATGTAGTAGATCCAACCCCAGTCAAAATAAGTGAAAAGGGCCAACTCAATTTTGAATTTGTCAATTTGGATTATGAAACTGATATAACTTAAAATAAAGATAGGTCCATGTGAATCTCAACAATTTGCACCTTTGTTTAACCAAGTACCAAAATTTTATTATAAGCACTTTACCAAGTCTTGACATAAATTTCTTCAATGTTAAGGTTAACACTTCGAAATGGATAATAAAAAGCATTAAAAGACTCTAAAAATAGACTTTACAAATCATGAATTCATATATCATGCTGAAAAGAAAAGAAATTAAAAATTTTCACAATCATAGAACTTTACACCAAAAAAATTCAATACTATCATAGTTACATTCATAATGCTAAAAAGACATAAAGCTCAGAGCTTTGGCCTAAATATATAAAATAAAATCAATTTAAGTACAAAAAATAAATAAAAAACTTGAAAACAAAAGAAAATGCTGCAATTTACTCTTTTCTAAAAAATAAATGATTTTGGATACCAACCAAGTTCATAATAGAAATTACCAATCTTTAAAAGCACAACCCAAAATCTATTATTTGAAGCTAAAAGATCTCTTCCCACTTTAGCACACATTTTGTGAAATTGTAACCTAAAAGATTAATTTTTACAAATATCATTCTTTCAAAAAAATAAAAATTAAAAAAAATTAAAACTAGTAAAAATCATAAGAAAATTTGAAGGGAATATTTTTACCTAGTCTTTTTGAACTTTTTCAAGTTAAGAACGAAAAGTATTGAGCTATTTTTTCATGAAATCAGTTCTTAACTTGGGTATATTCCCTTTAAGTAATTGATATTGATTCTGGAATTAAACAAATAATCAAAGGTAGATTTTGTAGGATGTAATTGAGAGTAATTTGGTTTTTGAAACAAACCTCAATAACTGTAGCAATTTGAAGGCTTCCGATTCTAGATTTTCTTCTAATTTTCTTTTTGTTTAAAAAAATTTGAAATTTCTTTTTCTTTTTAACTTTTTGTTGAAATCAACCAAATAAGGAACCAAGTTATAGGATTGTGATAATTATTAATGAAATTCATAACATCAAGTAATCTTTTTTCTTTTTTTATAAAGGAAAAAAATAAACAATCTTACCTTGGTGTAATATCTACAACCCGCTAACCCCTCAGTAACAACCAAAAGCTTAAGATTAGGATGAAACAGCTTCTGTATCACCACATTATCATCATATGGGTCATCATCTCCTGTTAAGAATGTAATTTCATTCTCACTTACTTACATTTTCATAGGTTACCTGCAAATGAATGTAGTAGCAAGACATTTTATGTATGAGACTTGAAATCACAAATTCATACCTTGATAAGGTCCACTTAATCCCATATACTCATTATGCCATTTCCAAGTAGCCTCCGCTAATGGCCACAGTGGTAATCTTACATTTGGGTCATAAAATAAGATGCTACCAGACCTTTTGTCAATGTTCATTGTTATATGGTGAGCTGACTTGTATGGTTCCTCAATCAAACTAATAAAACCATAAAGAAAGATCTTTGCCTGCAATTAATATTATTTGGAAATAACAAAAATTCCAAACCTGTCAATGTATATTTGCCTTTCTATGTTATATCTAATAAGATTCAGAGTGGGATGAGTATTATTTACAAAAAAAGATAAATTGATTGAAGTTATGAATTAGAATTATCGTTAAAGCAAGTATACTTGTGCACAAAGTTGATAATATTAAAAACGCATTACTATCATTTGCAGTAGTAAGAATTGATATTCGTATAATAGAACCTTTTTGTCCTTTAATTCAGCTAGCACGCTCGTATATTGTGGCCAAATCAACCCAACTCTACAAAACTCAAATTGGTTAATACCCAGATGTCAAAATGGATCCTTTGACTCAAAACTAAATAGATTTCATAAAAACTTAGAGACTATCTGGTTTGAAAAATGGTGACTTTTAACTGAAATAGAGAAATGGCAAAAAAAAAAAAAAGAATTGTATAGAAATAGAAAAAAAATTAAAAAGAAATTAAAAGATAGTTTGAAACTTTGGATAGGTAAAAGCTAAAGAACATACAGTACATAGAGAAAAGATTTGAAAAGGGTGAAAAGGATAGGCAAAGTTTTCTTTTTTCATGGTAAAATTTTTCCCACAATAACCCTTAAATCATTATTATTTCCAAACTTAAGTTGTCTATAAATAACGATAAAAATTGATTGAGGAACCCTCAAGGAGATTTGTTCACACACAATGATTTTAATGAAAGTTACCCTTATTCCTTTCCCTCTCCTACTTAAATGAAACTACAACAAACTGTATATAATTACACTTTAATTCCTCATAATAAATTTTGGTTTAGCTAGGCTTCTATATTTACCATATAATAAAATCTCAAAAATCAAAGATACTACATTAGAAATGTAACCGCCACTAGTAGCCATTTTCAAATTATAGCTTCACACATTTGATCCCACTTTATGGTTTGGTATATTTTGCTTCATTGTTTTATTTATTTATTATTTTTTATTCTTCCTTTGCATGCCATGGTTTGGAAGAAATAGAAATGGTTAATACCTTTTTGTTTATATGTCTTATTCGGATTAGGCATATACATCTTGTAGGTCTAATCGTCCTTTTATGTTTCTAGTGTTGATAGGATAGGGATATGATAAATGTAAAAAAATCTTTTAGAAATGGTTTGGTTGGTTTTGGCCTTTCATATATTTGGGCATATAATAAGCTTGATTACTAGGCTAAAAAATAATAATAATCATAGAAATAAGTAAAATTATATAAATGTCTACTCAAAGTTAAAAGGTATAACTTAAAATTTTAAAATCCCTACCTAAGCGTTAGAATGAATAAAAGAAAAATTTTTGTGTTAAAAAAATAATTTTGCCTAACTGTTGGAGAATTATTAAATAATAAAATAAATAATAATAGTAATTAAACTTTTAATGAAAAAGGAAGATAAAGAAAAATTAATTTTTGGAGGTTGTGAAAATTGTAAGAATAAAAAATTTCTTTTTTTTAAAAGAATTATAAAATTGAGCTTCCTCCAAAAGCATTCCTAAATGTTAGAAATTTTTAGAGAAGTTCATAAGTTTTTAAACTTACCCGAAACCCTAAATTTGTTTTAAATTTCTAAGGATTTGCATAAAAATCTTTTATGAAGTAATATATTCCCAAATGCTACCTAAATGTTGGGTATTTAATAAATTTTATTTCATTAAGAATTTTCATACATTTCTACAAAACTCAAAATAAATATATTTTATTAAAACAACAAATATAAAAATATAAAATAATAAAAATATTGAATAGGATTTTTAAATATAAAAAGCCATACCCAAACTTTACTTAGATATTGGAGAGTCTAGGTGGTCTCTTTAAATTTGAAGACTCAATTTCTAAATTCACATTTGAACATCATTTACATTTGTTTCATTTTGTTTAAATTAATGTACTTATTTATAAAGCATATAGATATGTTTGTTGATGTTTAATGTTAATTATATTATTTTTCATTTTTTTACTGCATAAAAGTTTTCTTAAATTTTTTTTTTAGTTTTGAACAAATAAAATTAAAATAACATTTAAAGAAATATGATTGTTGGTACTCTGCCTAGATGTTGAAGAGTCATCAATAATTAACATTTACTAAAAGTGTTATTTTATTATTTTGGAAGGAATGTTGTGATAAATCTTAAACGAAAAGAGTTATTTTCAATTCTACCAGATGTTAGAGAATTTGGAAGTAATTCTTTAATTTAAAGATTTCTTTGATATTCCTAAATAAAGAACGTTAATAAAATTGCTTTCTTTTTTTCAAAAAAAATAATAAAAGGAATTATTAGTAAATTTCAAATCGAAACCATTTTATCCAATACAAAAAAATAATGCATGATTAATTGATACCAATTTATAGGCATTGTGAGGATATTAATCCTTTCCTACATGTAATTAACTCTCGAACTCGATTTTATTTTCACAGACCAAAATCATTTTTCTAATAATGCTTTAAATTCATTTTATTATTTTATTAAAAAGATAAAATATTTGGGTGATCAATCACACTTTAAAAAAAATTGGTGACAACTCTTTATGTTTCTCACAATTTTTAAATTCTTACGTCTACCGATCAAGTCTCTAGACTAATATATTATGACAAGGGTGTAAGTTTTGTTAAAAATGGTCAATTTTGATAGTTTGATGATTGGAGATTAACATTTGTTCTTATCAAATTGGAAATGTAGATTAACATTTATTCTTATCAAACTGAAAATGCAATAGGTCTAGCCCTTGGGCCTTGGTTGTTGAAAGAAAATGAAAAGGATGAAAATATAGTTGCTTTCCACTTTTTATTTAATTCATGATAGGTATATGGTTGTCGTAAGATGCCCCAAAGTTTCAATTTTTTAACAACATATTGGAAATTCTTTGACATGTATTATTTAATGATGGTTATGAAAAAGACTGATGAAAAAAAGTTCAAACTTTTGCAGCTGTTCTTTGATAGCATGAAATTTTGATGGATGATTAATTTCTCATGTTGTTTTAAATTGGTAATAACTTATTTGCTCATTTGCCTCTTTACTTTGATGTATACTTCCAAGACAATTTGATGGGAGATTAGGTTGTTGAAGAAGAAATCAAGAGAAAATAATGTTGCATAAAAATGCCATTGGCAAAACGAGGGCAAAAATCTAGTAACAATAACTTTGGCACTAACAAAGATAAAAGTTGGGCAAGATAAGGTCAAGTTTGGTAGATTTTTAAAATTTTGCTTAAGGTCCACTTAGATCAATTTTATTAAGTATATATAAATGATTTAATTTGAATTTATTATTAAATTATTAAAAAAAATACTTATATGTACTATAATTGAATTTGAAAATTTTCTTCAATATTTAAGAGTTTACATCTGACTCATGAATAAATTTAATTAATGATAGTATTATTTGAATTTGTAACTTTTTGCAAAAAAACTATAAAAGAAATTGTTTTTGTTTACGGTTTTTCTTTTTTTGGATTTTTAGACTTTGAACTTAATTGACACTCAAATTCAAGTGAAGTTTTCAAATGCTTTGTCTTCATTGATATTTGGATAGCCCCTCCTTTCATTTTCCAAATAAATACAATTGAGTAATTACGAGAGAGAGATGTTTTCATCATTTTAATCACTTCCGTCATTTTTTATATTTATAAAACAAAAAATTTTGCACCATTAGGAGTTGAGGAAAAAACAAAAAATAGGAGTCACTATGACCCAAGCAAGTTCAAAGGCTTCCATTAGGCATCGGTTGCCTATTTATGATGCAAATGAGATATTATTTTTGGCTATTCACATTATAACATGTTGATTCAGATCATTTAAAATTCATCCAACCTGTAAATAAGTTGTGATAAAATTAAAAATATTGGTGTTGTTAAGATCAGGGACTATAATAGTGAAATTGAGTATTGCAACAATAAAATTAAAATTACTATTGTGATATGTATTTAAATGCAAATACAACGGTGATATGAGATCAAATGTAATGAAAAAAAAAAAAACTATTAGAGATATTAAAATTTATAATATATGATTATTTTTATTTCAAAATAATAATTTTAAAAAAATTAATGTATTTATACATCTTAAAAGAGAAAATTTATTATTTATTTATTATTTATATAATTATCTATTTTTTATTCACTAATAATCTATTTGATTATAAAATTAATTTTTTAATATATATTTATTATCTTAACTATTAATTAATTTATTAAATAATTACATAAATAATATGATAAATAATTACAATAAATTAATTTAAAAAACTTTAAATTAAAAAATAAAATAACAAAAAATAACTTATAAATGACTAGTCAAAATTGGAAAGGAAAAAACGTGATAAGATATATCTAACCATTCATTATAATCCAAAGACAAAAAAAGAAGAAAAAAAAAAAAAAAGAAAGAGGCAGGACACTAAACACAGCTTTTTTACTAGTTAAAAAGCATCTAATCTCCAAATGCATAACCAAAACGTTAGAGAGCTTTAATCGCACCCCTTGAAGGTCACTGGGCATTTAAATGGAGTCTTAATGTAGTCATGGCTTTTCCGTTGCGTTACACCCACAATTTAATTTGAGAATGATGATGAGTTTAGTGGCTCACACACTAGACCATTAAACATAAGACCCTTTTATTTATTTTTTTTAGTTCTAAAATATCCTTAAACATAAAAGCCTTTTTTAAAAGTTTCATTTATATTTATAAATAAAGTAGTTTATTTTGTTATTAATTTATCTCATAAAGTCTTAGATTAATTTGTTAAATAATAGTTACAAGTACTCTTTCTTCAAATATTAACGATTTTTTTGAAAGTTTTTTTTTTTGTAATTTATAATACTAAAAATGCTAATTATTTTTTTAAATATAAATAATGTCTCAATATTTTTATCAATAAATTTTTTAAAATTTTATATATTAAAATAGAATTAAAATTTAAGTAAAACTAATATACTAATACACTTTTAATTTAATGTCCATACAGATTTTTTTTTTAAAATTTCATCTTATTATCAAATATATATTTTTTGTTGATTTTAATCTAACAATTATAATTTATGTAAATATCTAATTTTATCCTAGAGGATTCGATTCTATTTTGTGTTTGGTTTAAACATTTTTATTTGGGCTAACTTGAGCATTTTAATTAGATTAAGGTTTGGACTCGTTTTGGATTAATCATTTTTATGATCATTTTACATGTGTTGAAGCCAATTCAATTCATTTATTGGTCACTTGAGATTAAAGGTCTAATAGAAGTTAAGTCAATTTTAAGATAAAAAATCCAATTATAGGCTTAAATTCAATTTTAAGACCTAATTTTATTTTATTAAAATTAATTAATTTAATTAACTAAGATTTTAAAAAATTTTAAAAAATCAAAAAGGAAAAGGAAAAGGTCAGCTACCTCAATTCTAGGGGTGAGCATATATCGGTTCTAACCGATTTAACCGATCGAAATTATGAAATATGGTTATTTCGATTCGGTTTAATCGGTTTTCGGTTGTAATCGATTTTAAGATCAGTTAAATTCGTTAAATTGATAACCGAATTAACTGAATTAACCGATCTTATAATAATTAAGGGTAAATATGTAAATTCTCTTTAAAAAAACCTAAATTTAACTTACCTTTTTTATAACTCATCCACCCAGCTGTTTCCCCTTTCTGCTCTTTGCTCTTCCTCTGTTGTAGCTTACTATGTCTTTGCCCTTTGCAGTTTGCTCTCCTTCAATCTCCTGCATCTTTGCCTCCCTCTTACTCTCTTGCTTGGCTACTTGCCTCATAATCTCTTGCTCCCTCTAATTTGCTACACAAGATCCACAGTTGTAGAGATCAATCTGCCCAAGATGCCATCGTAAGTTCTTAAATCTTAATAACCTTTATTTTTTCTTTTAGCATGATGTTTAGAACTGTATTCTTCCTGTATGTTTTAAGCTAAAGCATAACCCAAACAGCCAAACCTCAGCCCCAAGGTGTGCCCACGGTAATGTTTTTTTTGCTGGTATTTTTCAGTAGCTTTTGTTGTTTACTTGTTTAGAGTGATTCGATAGATGGACACTATCTCTAGCCTAGAAGGAATAGGTCTAGGACTTTCAGTGGCTTGTTTACTCCTTCAGTTGATTGACTAGGTTCTGGAACAAAAGGATCAAAAGTCAAAACCTTTCACGCCCCACGTTGGATTTACAGTATCTGTAGCAAGCTGTGAAAATTCTCCTTTTAGTCGAGAAAGGCACTTTAACTTATAAAAATGAAGGGAGCAAGATTTTTAATAACAGTTTCTGCCAGTTTCGACTTGCTTCGCTAAATTACCAAAAGAAAGCAACAACTATTCGGACTAAGACGATGTGGACAGTGGACTCAAGAAAAAGTAAAAGAAAATGCTATTTTCTAGCATGGAGGCCGACTGGGGAAACCAATTAATGTGTGGTGAAGCGCACCTTTCTCAGATTGATGAATTTTATCTGCTGATTTAGTTAAGTCTATTCCCCAAGCAGAATTCAAGCTCTGCAATTATAAGGATACTGCAAATACAGCTAGAGACCATGCAACAAATGCTACTCAATCAGCTCAAGAGTCTGTTCAGCAAAGACAGTAGTATATTACTGGTTTCCTGCAGCAGACTGCTGGTTTCTTACAGCAGACTACTAGTTTTCTGCGTCAGCTGGTTTCCTACAGTAGATTACTGGTTTTCTTCAGCAGGTTTCTTGTTTATCTGTCATTCCCTTTCATCAATTCTTTTGCTTTTCAATAATAATAATACCTCATTTTAGGGTACATTAAACAGACAATTGATAAAGTTTACGTTATTTTGAGCTTTGGTTAGGAAACTAATGAAATAGAAATTTGTACTATTGCAGACTGGAGAGCAAATGAAGGGCATGGCTCAGGGTGCTGTGGAAAGTGTGAAGAACACACTTGGAATGAATGAGAAGAAATGAAATCAAAGGATTGATGAGATCATTTGGTTATGAAATGAGATGCAGCTTTAATAAATACAGATTTTGTTGCTTTCTTTTGGTAATTTAGGGATGACTGATGGTATGGCAACATGGTAATGATGTGGACTAAGACAATTCAAGAATGGTCCCACAACTCACAAGCGAAAGACATAAATAGTTTAAGTGATTTACACCTTGAAGTAGAGTGTGTAAATACTGGATGTATACATAGAGAAATAAATTTAAAACACAACTATTCAGGAATAAAGAATTTAAAAAAATCTATTGTCAGAGATCTAGCACTTTTAAGTTTTAACTTTCTTACTAGATCTAGCAACTAATTAATCTAAATTATGCTAGATACTTAAATTAAAAGTTAAAATAAATTAGCCTAAACTATGCTAGACACTTACATTGTTTGTTGATAAAATAAGCAACTAATATATAGTTTGATTAACAAACTATTTCATTATTTGAATATCCAATGTGTTCAATAATTGTGTGAATATTACTTTATTATTTTTTCATTATTTGAATATAATTTTATTTTTATTTATTATTTTAATATAATATAATTATTTATTTTTTATTGTTTGGATATAATTTGATCACTTGCTTTTTTTTTTTTTGAAGATGTCAAATGAAGTGAGTGATATGATTTTGGATTCTACAACTAATCAAACACAATTGGCCTCTCAACTTTTTACATATGATGAGGTAACAAAAAGTGCAACTGTAAATTCCAAAGTGATGAGACGAGCATCTAAGCCATGGTCAGAGGTATGGGACCACTTTACTAAATTTGTTAATGAAGAAGGTAATCGTAAAGCTAGGTGTAATTATTGTGACAGAGAATTTTTTGCTGATCCTAAAAAGAATGGAACCACCGCTTTAAAGAATCACATGAATTCTTGTAAAAAGGTTCCTCGTGTTAGTGGGGATGATGGTACTCAAACAGAATTGGTGTTGCCGTCAGGAGGAGTGGAATCTTTAGGCACTTAGAAATTTAATCAAGATGCTGTTAGAAAAGCTGTACCTAAAATGATCATTCTGAATGAGTTGTCATTTAGATTTGTGGAGTCGGAAGGATTTAGACATTGTATGTCAGTTGCATGTCCTAGATTTTGTGTACCATCACGATGGACAGTTACTAGGGATTGCTATCAGCTTTATATTGATGAAAAGACTCATTTGAAGCAATTCATGAAATCATCTTTTACAAGAGTATCTCTTACCACTGATACATGGACCTCATTACAAATGATCAATTATATGTGTCTTACGACTGACTTCATAGACAAAGATTGAAAACTAAATAAAAAGATATTAAATTTTTGTCCCATTTCTAGTCACAAAGGTGAAGCTATTGGTAAGGCGGTTGAAAAATGTTTGCGTGATTGGGGGATTGATAAGATTTTTACTGTTACAGTTGATAAGGCTAGTTCTAATGATGTTGCAATTGCATATTTGAGGAAAAAATTTAACAATGCTGGAATAGTATTTTGGGAGGCAAATATCTTCATTTGAGATGCATTGCACATATTGTTAATCTTATTGTTTGTGATGGATTGAAGGAAATGAATGAAACAATTGCTCGTGTTAGAGGGGCAATAAGATATGAGAGACAATCACCTTTCAGGTTAGCTAAGTTTAAAGAGTGTATTGTAAATAAACATATTCAAAGTAAAAGTTTATTGTGTTTGGATGTTAGCACTAGATAGAATTCTACTTATTTGATGTTGGATGTAGCTCAAAAGTTTGAAAGGGCATCTGATGCATTTGATGATGTTGATCCTTATTATAGAAGTGAGCTTTTGATGGGAGATGAGGTACCCGATCAAAATGATTGGGCAACTGTTAGGAAGTTTTACCTTTTCTTGCAACAATTTTATGATCTCACCGTGAAAGTTTTAGGTACTTCTTACGTCACATCTAATACTTTTCTTGATGATATATGTGATGTTTATTCCACTTTGCGAGAATGGCAATTAAATCCTGATGTTGAGTTGAATGTAATGGCAAAGAGAATGAAGGATAAATATGATAAGTATTGGGGAAATATAGAGAAGATGAATATGTTGGTTTATATTGCTTCTCTTCTTGATCCTTCAAAAAAGTTTTCTTTTGTTGAATATTGCTTCATGAAAATGTATTCTTCTTATGAAGCTTCATTGATGATTAAAAAAGTACAACAAGCAATAGAAAACTTATTTAATGAATACAAAAGAATGTTAGAACCTCAGTCTGAGCAAGTTGGTGAAAGTAGTCAAGTAAGCCAAATGTCACAGCCCACCGATGATGAAAGTGGAAATGGAATGACAAAAAAAAAAAAAGAAAGCTTTAAGTCCAAGTACAAGAGGTATAGGATTGAACATGGCAAAGATGAACATAAATAAGAATTGGCTAAATATTTGAGTGAGGAGCCTGATGATGATGATAATGATGACTTTGATGTTTTAATTTGGTGGAAACTTAATAGCCATAGGTTTCCTATCCTTTCCCATCTAGCTCGTGATGTGTTAGCAATTCCTATATCCACAGTTGCTTCCGAATCTGCTTTTAGCACTGGTGGTCGTGTGCTTGATGCATATAGGAGCTCTTTAACTCCTAAAATTGTGCAAGCCCTTATTTGTGCTCAAGATTGGTTACGTAGATCTTCTAATCTTGATTCATTTCAACCTGAAGATGATTTGATACAGCTTGACAAAATGGATTTAGGTAATATTTTATTTATACTATCATTTATTTTTTAAGGATTATTATTTTTTATTTTTTTATTTGTTTAAAGCTTACTTTTGTTATTTTTTGTTTATATATTTTTAGATTTGTTAAAAATTGCCTTAGATCCAGTAATTGATTAAAACAAATGTGCATGGACCTTTTGAGGTAATTTCATTATTAATTTCTATGAATATTTACATTTAAAAAATATTTATTGTATTCATTGACAACTAATTAAGGTTTTAATCTCTTTAACATTTTAAGAAAAAATGAAAGATGTGCACCAAAGTTATGGGGTTCATGTACGAAGAATGCTGTTAGAACTTGGAATATCCTTTAATTAGCTTGTTTTATGTTTTTTTATGAACTTTTATATCCATTTGTCAACTCAGAGTGTTCTTGTCTTGTTTTATGTTTTGTATGAGTTGTTAGCTCAATTTGTCAACTTAAAATATCTTTTATGTTTTGCACCAAAGTTATGAGATGCATATTTGCTTGATTTGCTTTTTTAAGTTGGCTTGTTGATCCTTGAAAACTTGTTTATGTGTTGAAATGACAATTATTATGTATTGATGGCTTTGTTGGTTATTTGATATATGTTAAAGTAATACTTTTTAAAACTTATTATTTAATTTATTTTGATTAAATAAGTTTAAATGAGTATTTATTTATCTTTTTTCTTGTAAAATATTGTAGAAATTATTAAATTCTTTAATGATTTAGTTTGAATGGTATGTCAATTTAAGTTTTTATTATATTGAATTTGTAGCTAAATAATTATTCAAAATAAGAGAAAAAATGATGAAAAATTTGATTATTTAACCAAACTAATCGAATCGAACCGATTTTTGATCGATTCGATTAAATCGGTTAGTTAAAATTTTGTTGGTCGGTTTGATTACTGATAAAATAAAATTGGTTAATTCGGTTATTGATTTTTTCAGACCGAATTAACCAAATTAACCGACTGCACACCCCTACTCAATTCCTTTTCCTTAAAATGCTTCCCCCATTTTCAGCTTTCTATTTTCACCTTTTTTTTACCCACCTTCTGCTCCTACATCAATTTATCAAACATTTTCACACCTTAAAATTTAGCAACTCTGTAATCCTAAGCAGAGCCA